TGAGTGGGGGCCTGTGCAGAAAAGAGTTAACACTGCAGGCCTGTAATGATAGCCCTATAAATGCTGACTTTCCTACTAGGGGTTTGTGTAAATTTGCAATGAGAGAAAAAGGAAAGTTTTTTAAAAATGGCTTTGTATTTTGTGGTTCTTGTATCTGGATATATGATAAAATTGATTTAAAATGTTACATGCTTATAATTTCATAAATGCTAGAGGAACCATCTCAAACATGCAAAAATGAAGAAGGTATTGGTGGGGTACAGCTTCCTTGCTTTTACCATCAAGGGGTGGGTCGGAATTTAAATTCTTTGGGTATTAGAACTAGAACAAGTCTCTGTAACTGATGATTTTTGCTATGATTTGTGTCTGTTGGAGCCTCTGGAAACAGGGTGACAACATGAAAAGAGAGGCAGTCTCTGGATGGAAATACACATTTGGATTTTGAAAAACCAGTTAAATTGCTAATAAGCCGTGTTGAAATCAAATATCTGACCCTTAGAGCCTGATGGCTGTCCAGTTTGATGTACATGTTTTTGAGTGGGTCAGTTTGGACTCTGAGACTGACAAGATAAAAAGGAAGCCTTGCTTGTCACTTGGACTTGGACCGTGGCTGTTCGGCACTGCAGCACGCCTTTGCTGCTCCTCAAAGCACCTGGCTTGATTGGAATCCCAAATTCACTGATCCTAGTTGCTTGGACCTGACTCTAAGCTGAAACCTGACCCTGACTGTCATGCACTGTTTCAGCCGCAGCAGGAGGTGTGCGGAGCTGAAAGCAGACCCAGGCTCCATGAACAGGACTCAGACCCTGGGACCACTGGAGATTACGACCCCTTCTGTGGAGCTCTAAACGATGAAAATATACATCGTGGATGCTGGCTGCACCAACTGGGTCACATACAAATACCCATAGGAAAGGGCCTGTTCTCTGATGGGACCATCTAAAATCAAGCTGCTGATCAGCTCTTTACGTCTAATGCAGAGGCTAATTGCATCCTAACTTGTGATCCCTACCAAAACCTGCAAGTTGGAGGAGGGCACGTCACAGGGACTTCGACCCCTCTGCCTGCTTTTGACAGATCAGACTCTGGGCCTTCTCTGGGGGGCAGCTCACTGCTGTTGATTTGTGTGTTTGGCGTTCTGGATTAGCTGCAACTTACTACGATGGGCTGATAGCCTTACTCTACCTCCTCACGTTTCCCTCTCTACACACACTTTAGTAAGGTAGATTGATTATTCAGATGTATCTGTCTCTGGAAAGGGATTGATCTTTTCTAGGCTTTCTCTGGATAAAAGGGGTGGGAGGTTATATAAACCCACTTTGAAATTTTTTAAATTCAGTATTTCACCCTCTATTAGTTTGCTAGGGCTGCCATAACAAAGTAGCACAGACTGGATGGCTTAAACAATAGAAATGTATTTTCTCTGAGTTCTGGAGGCTAGACATCCAAGAGCAGAAGTTGGCACGTTTCTCCTAAGGCCTCTCTCGTTGGCTTGCAGCTGGCAGCCTTTTCACTGTGTCTTCACAGGGTTGCCCCTCTGTGAGTGTCTGTGTCTTAATCTCTTATAAGAACACCAGTCATATTGGATTAGGGCCCACCCAGATGACCTCATTTTACTTTAATCACCTCTTGAAAGGCCATATCTCCAAATACAGTCACATTCTATACTGGACGTTAGGGTTTCAACATATAAATTTGGGGAAAACACAATTCAGCCCATAACATATCCTGATCAGTTCCTGAATATCTTTCTGGTTAAATTGTATTAAAATATTTATCTGCAAAAATATTCTGTACCTCTTGCATACAGGTCTCTGGATGAAAGGCCTGGATGAGAATAAGAGATGATTGAAAAAATGTAAAGTTAGGATTGCTGATCTGCGGGGCATGCTGATTTTGAAACAATGAGAAGAAACAGAACCTGGCAGCTAGGGAGCTTTGGGGAAGTGGCGGGGGTGGGATGGGGGGGGCATTTATGATCTTTGTTTCTCAGAAACAAAGGAAAAGGAAAGCTCCCAGTGCTGCCTTTCCATGAACAAAAGGCGTAACTGAGATCCATATTGAAGGTTGGTCTCACCCTTTTGTATGGGGTCCTACTGATAATAATTTTGCTCTAAAGTGGACTTGGCCCTTAAGGGCCAAGGAGGTGGACTGTGCAGAAGAGAGCTAATCAAGCAGGCCTGAGACTGCTCTCCTTAGAAGGCCTGCTCGCAATGTCGGCCCTGGCTGGCATCTGGGTTCTTGGATTTCAGGAGGGTTCTCACCATTCCCTAAATTATAAGAGTTGCTCACAGGGCCTAAACTGTGCAAACAATGTGGTTGATGCTGCATACCTGCTTTCCTTCCAGGAATGTGGAATTTTGGTGTGTGCTAGGCAGAGGGTACCTATGTGACCAGCCCCTAGAAAAGTCCTGGGCGTTGAGTCTCTAATGAGCTTCCCTGGTAGATAACATTTCACACATGTTGTCACAGTCATTGCTGGAGGAATTAAGTGTGTCCTGTGTGACTCCACTGGAAAAAGACTTTGGGAAGCTTGTGCCTGGTTTCCCCTGGATCTTGCCCTATACACATTTTCCCTTTGCTGATTTTGCTTCATAGCCTTTTGCTGTAATAAATCATAGCCATCTGTGAGTAGGACTATATGCTGAGTGGGTCTTCTAGTGAATCATCGAACTGGGGGTGGGTAGTCTTGGGGTACCCCAACACCGGGCACAAGGGGGACTTCTGGCGTGTTGGTTGTGTTCTCTTTCTCAATCTGGGTGCTGTTTACATGGGGTGTGTTCAGTTTGTGAAAATTCACTGAGCTGTCCCATTAAGATATGTATAGGGACTTCCCTGGTGGTCCAGTGGTTAAGACTCGATGCTTCCAATGCAGGGGTCCCGGGTTTGATCCCTGGCCAGGGAACTAGATCCCACGTGCCACAACTGAGAGCCGACATGCCACAACTAAAGTCCTCTCATGCCGCGACTAAAGATCACTCTTGCCGCAATTAAAGAGATCCTGCATGCCGCAGCGAAGATCCCTCGTGCTGCAACTAAGACCTGGTGCAGCCAAATAAATATTTTTAAAAAAACATTAAAGAAAAGATAGTATACTTTTTTTTTTTTTTGCGGTACATTGGCCTGTCACTGTTGTGGCCTCTCCCCTTGCGGAGCACAGGCTCCGGCCTAGCCACTCCGCAGCATGTGGGATCTTCCCAGACTGGGGCACGAGCCCATGTCCCCTGCAACGGCAGGCGGACTCTCAACCACTGCGCCACCAGGGAAGCCCTAGTGTACTTTTTTTGTACATAGATTCAACTTTATAAAAAGATAAAAGGGAATATTACACACCACAGGGATAAAAAAAATAATAATTTTATTTATTTTCTTGGCAGCACTGCAGAGCATGCGGAACTTCCCCAACCAGGGATCAAACCCATATGCTCCCTGTAGTGGAAGTGTGGAGCCTTAACCACTGGACCACAGGGGAAGTCCAATAACTTAGTTTTAAAAAACAACTTGCTTTTATTTAGAAAACATTTTAATCACTCCTTTTTACCAGGCATTGTGCTGAGAGCTTAGGACATGGGTCAGGAAAGAGGTCTGCATTGCCTCTCAGTTTATTGGGAGTCAGATAAAGATATACTTGTAATATGGTTGACTTTTGCTGAGTCCTAGCAAAGACACCATTGGACGCTACAGGGCTGCTAACCTGGGTAATTCTCAGGGTTACCATTCCAGTATCTACGGAAGCCAGACAGACAAATGGGCAAAGAGGGGTAACAGGGAACTGTGACAAACTGGGAAGGTAAGTAGGCATAGAGTTGCCACAGCTGATGGTTTTTCTTAAGGAAAAGCCACAGATCTGAATTTTTATGTGAGCTCTCTTGATTTTTTTTTTTTTTGCTGTACTTGGGCCTCTCACTGTTGTGGCCTCTCCCGTTGCGGAGCACAGGCTCCAGACGCGCAGGCTCAGCGGCCATGGCTCACGGGTCCAGCCACTTCGCGGCACGTGGGATCTTCCCGGACCAGGGCACGAACCCGTGTCCCCTGCATCGGCAGGCAGAGTCTCAACCACTGCGCCGCTAGGGAAGCCTAGCTCTCTTGATTTTTAAGTCCTGTAAATGAATCCAAATTTTAAAAAGTGGGAGGCCAAACAAAACACCTCTGCAGGCCAAATTTGGCCTTGGCCTACCAGTTTGCCAGGGATTCTGCCAACCAACCATCCTTCCCCTCTTACCAGACAATTGAGGGTCCACTGTTTTAGGCACTGGGAAATAGAGCAGTGAGCCAGCCAGACAACTTTCTTGAAGAATGGCCTGGGGGCAGGGGTGGGGGAGGGTGGTGTCTGGTACTGTGCCCTTCAAACTTCAGTATGTGTGGGAATCACTGGGTAGATTCTGAACTGGGAGGTCTGCGTTAAGGCCTGAATCTTGGCCTTTCTAACAACAAGCTCCCAGGTGATTCTGATGCTAGTGGTCCCTGCTGTTATTTGAAGGAGGGGAGTAGGGAATTTGTCTTGAAGGTGCATTTGCCTGGCAAGAATCCTCTTTAGTTAGATTTTAGTTTATTGGGGTGACTTGGAAGAGAGTTGATGACCTCGGAGGTGGGTACTCGGGCTCTGCCAGCTATCTCTTGGCGCTGCCAGGTCTCTGTTCTCAGAGTTTATAATCTAGAAGGTGGCGTGAGGGGTGGAGGAAGGTGCTAGGAAAAGCTTCCTGGAGGAGGTGCTTGTGAACTGCAGGAGCTCCCCCGGCCGCCAAGAAAGGGAGAAACCTTTAACTCCCCCCACCCCCTCCTGGGGCTGGGTCTCGGCGTCCCCGCACCGGGTTTGGTTTCCCAGGCATCCCACGTGTCTTCGGTCCGCGAGTCCCTGTCAATCAAGCTTCTCCACCAGGGGCCGGGTACGGGTTTAAAGGCGGCTGCAGTGCAGCGAGCTCCCAGAATGCCGCGCGGCGGGCGGGTTTGGATTTTAAATCCCCGCGGCCAATCAGTAGCGCGTAGGCTTTTGTAACGTTCCCGGCGCCGCGTTTGAATTCGAGGAGGAGCAGAGCCCTGCCAAGCCTCTGCCCAGACCTTGCTAGGTCCGCTGAGCAATTCCGGGAACATGAGTGCAGCGGCAACTGCAGGGAAGCTGGCGCGGGCACCAGCCGATCCAGGGAAAGTCGGGGTCCCTGGAGTTGCAGCTCCCGGGGCCCCGGCGGCTGCCCCGCCGGCGAAAGAGATCCCGGAGGTCCTAGTGGACCCGCGCAGCCGGCGGCGCTATCTAAGGGGCCGCTTTCTGGGAAAGGGTGGCTTTGCCAAGTGCTTCGAGATCTCGGATGCGGACACTAAGGAGGTGTTTGCGGGCAAGATCGTGCCTAAGTCGCTGTTGCTCAAACCGCACCAGAAGGAGAAGATGTCCATGGAGATATCCATTCACCGCAGCCTCGCTCACCAGCACGTCGTCGGCTTCCACGGCTTTTTCGAGGACAACGACTTTGTGTTCGTGGTGTTGGAGCTCTGCCGCCGGAGGGTGAGTGTCGCTGCTGGGGGACTGGAGCTGCCTGGGGACCGGGGTTGGGGCGCCCGCACCCGGAGCTGCTGGGGAAGGAGCGCCCCGGGGCTCGGAGCTGCTGGGAACCTCGAGCTGGGGATGGAGAAGGTCTTGGGGATAGAGGTGCCTGGCATTTGGGGCCTCTAGGAGAGGGTGCCGGTTAAGTGGAGCCCGGGTCAGGTTGCCTCTAGGGAAGGCGGCTCCCGGACGCTAGGAGTTGGGCTGAGTGGGGGAGGTGCGGGTCGCGGGAGAACTCTGCTAATGGACGCCAGGGCTTCCGGAGTTGCTAGGTAAGGGGTGCTGTGGACCCGAACCTCCGGAGTGGGGTTGGGTCAGGCAGAAAGTAGTTGGAGCCAGACTTAGTAGCTTCGGGGAGGAGAGGGGTCAGGAAAGGGATCTGCTGCTGCGAAGAGGCCCGGGGCAGGGATACAGGGGACTCTGAGCTTCCGGAGTGGGCTGAGAGAGGGGTCCTAGGTAAGGGACTTGGGAGGGAGCTGGTGGGAGAGGGGGTGCTATGAACGGTTGTGGCCTGGCTTAGGGGAGAGTCTACATCGTAGTTGTCCTGGAGAAGGAATGGGCGGTAGGGTCCTGGGCTGCCTTCACCTAATGACACCCCCTCCCTGCCTTGGGCCTGAGTACCCACTCCCCACTCCTCCTTCCCTCCCCCGCCCAGTCTCTCCTGGAGCTGCACAAGCGGAGGAAAGCACTCACCGAGCCTGAGGCCCGCTACTATCTGCGTCAGATCGTCCTCGGCTGCCAGTACCTGCATCGAAACCGCGTTATTCACAGAGATCTGAAGCTGGGCAACCTCTTCCTGAACGAGGATCTGGAGGTGAAAATAGGTGAGGAGCTGGGCCTGCAGGGACACTTGACACTACGGTCAGTGGGAATGAGGAGGAGCTGGGAGAGAGGGAGGGAGAGAGGAAGTCGGAAGGAGACAAGGGAGGGAGGAAGAGGATGGTAGGAAGTCTGGGCTGTTGATTGCCTCTAGAAGCCTCTCTTTAGTACAGAAATTTAGAACAAAGAGCCAAAAGCCAGTGTCTTGCCTGCAGATGCAGTTTTGGGTGTGTGTGCTCTCCTATACAGTATTATTTAAAAAAAAAAAAAAAAAAGGATTTGAATTTGTTTTCACTTTTTTAAATCGGGAGGCTTGAGTTTGAATTCGGGGCTCCTTTTAAACAGTTGGCTGCTCCAGCAGTACAGGGGCAGCTCTTTGCCGGACTGAAAAGCAGCTGTTCCCTTTAGGTGCCCTCTGCTTTGCCACAATCCCCACCCCTCCCTATCACTTCCTCACAAACTTGCCAAGTAGGCATCTTGACATTTACCTGCTTAATTCCTGAAGGCATGTGACTTTTGCTATCCCTACCAGTTCCCTTTTAGAAGCAAAGCCCTCCTTTCTAAGGGAGGGGGTGAGGAGGGTCTCTGGGAGGCCCCTCCCTGCGGCTAGCATGGTGGGAGGATTCCTGAGCATGCCTTGCTGCACACAAGAACTAGAGGCTTGAGGGATCAAACTTCCCTGGTTCTTGATGGTACACCTGAACCAGCTGTCCGCATTGACAGATGACAGAGGCTAGCATCTGAGTCCCCCTCTTCCTCCCTCTGTCCCAGGGGATTTTGGACTGGCAACCAAAGTCGAGTATGACGGGGAACGGAAGAAGACCCTGTGCGGGACTCCTAATTACATAGCTCCTGAGGTGCTGAGCAAGAAAGGGCACAGTTTCGAGGTGGACGTGTGGTCCATTGGGTGTATCATGTAAGTTGAGAGTTGTCTCAGGACCCACCCAGCCTCAGCAGAGGCCTTTTTGGATGTCTCACCTGGCAGACCTTATCCTGTAGACCTTTCTGCCTTTGGGAAGGCTGCTCCAGAGGACAGACTGATCCAAAAGGAAGCCTCATTTCCATATCTTTTCTTCTCACTGGTGTATCCTTTAGGATTCCTGCAGCCTGGGCCATGGGTCTGGGGAATGGGGGAGGGAAGGTCTCCACAAACTTGCTCTAGTCCCTTGCTATTCAAAGTATGGCAGACCAGCATCATCATCTCCTAGGAACTTGTTAGAAACACAGAATCTCAGGACCCAGGCTGACTGGATCAGAATCTGGATTTTAAGACCCTTGAGCTTTTCCATGCACAATAAAGTATTAGCACCACTGATCTAGGAAGCAGCAATGGGTGGGAGGAGTTAGGCCAAGAGTTATAGCTGGCAGGAGGAGGTCCTGTGGTCTGTCTGGATTAAGGCCATCAGAGGTGGGTGGGTGGTAGGCAGAGAGTTGGGCCTGTTCAGGTGTCACCCCTTTCATGGTTGCCCTGGGTACTGGAGAGTTAGAAATGAGTTGTCGCAGTGGCTTTCCTACTTCATTGCAGTGGAACTTTTTCAAATGAAAACTTGCAGCCTTAAGTACAGAGCTATTAACCGTGGAGCTGCCTCTGTAGGGGCAGGTAGCCCACTTGCTTTGACCTGTTTTGTGTTGGCTGGCAGTCTCTGGAGCCCTGCTATAGTGTAGGCTATAGCAGAAAAGTCACTGGCCCATGAGAACCGAGTCTCATCACCTGTATTCTACTGAGGACTCCTCCCTGCCAGTGTCTTGACTCCTGGGGCTGTTCAGTGGACTTGCGGACTGTCCTCCGGGACCCGAGTCATAGTGAATGTCCAGAAGGTGTCTGACTTCCTTTCTGGCCCTGAGAGGATTCCTCCAGCATCTGGGTTTTGGTTAGGAGCCTTGAGCCAAATCCCTCCTTGTGCTTACAGGTATACCTTGTTAGTGGGCAAACCACCTTTTGAGACTTCTTGCCTAAAAGAGACCTACCTCCGGATCAAGAAGAATGAGTACAGTATTCCCAAGGTGACTAAAAACACTTTAAGTTTACGTTTATTTTATTTAATTTTTCCCCCCCAAAGCTATTTACTGAGCCCAGCCATATCCTGGGACAGAGGTGGGTCAGTCCTACCCCTAGGGTAGCCATAAGAGCTTTAGAGGGTCCTTGTCTGAAATTGCATACAAAACCTGGCGTATGTGCACAAAAGCATTTTTTCTTGGGGAAGAGAGTTTGTAGGTTCTCAAAGGTTGGGCAGATAAACCAAAAGATGTGTAAAACAAAGAGAGCATAAAGGAAGTAGAAGGCAGACAGAGACGTGCTGCTTAAGCCTTGGAAGTGGACTGTCTTGATTCAGATGGGCTCTGCCACTTAGCACCCAGATCACAATAGACAAATGGCCTGAATCTTCTGAGCTGCAGTTTCCCATCTATAAAATGGAGTCCTTACCCCAGAGCACCTTGCATACAATAAGCGCTCACAGAATTGCGAACCGCTGTGCTTCGCAACCACCAGCATGAGTGCATTGAGAGGGATAGCCTGCAGCAGCCTGGCATACGGCTGCTTTCCAGTTTGGTGTCTTTGCCTTGTGTGAAGCCAAGAGCCCTGTCTCTATAAGAACAGATGGACTGAATCTGTCATAAAGTGTCACTTATTGGACAGAGCAGAGTGGTTCCGAGTGTGGGTGTTGGCAGCTGACTATGCCCCTGTGTGGGTGCTGGCTCTACCATTCACTAGATGGTAGAACACACTAGGGTGTGTTCTTAGGCACTTAACCTCTCTGTGTCTCAGTTTCCCCATCTGCAAAAGAGGGATGGTGATAGAGATCTTCACCCCCTGGGTGTTTCTGTGAGGGTTAAATGAGTTAATATATATGAAGTGCTTAGAATATTTTGCTGGCACATAGTAAGTGCATAGTTGATGGTAGAATATTAGTGTGCATTTGACCTGCACTGGGTTTGGATCTCCTCACCAGAGCAGCAAGCTTGGTGCTGTGTCCCCATTTTATAGATGAATTTACAAAGGCCCAGAAAGTTGGGTTAGTTGTCACAGCCAGTATTAAGGGACAGAACTGGGACTTAAAACAGGTCATTATGACTTTGAAGCCTGTGTTCTCAAGTGCTGCTCTAGTGGTGAGCAACTTGAATTATGCAAGAGCAAATTTTGGGAAAAAGTGACCTCAAGAGGAAGGAGAAATTGTCATTCTCACAACTTAGGTTGACACTTGTGAACTCAGTAAAGCTGCTAGTGGAAACTTGGCAACCCACATCCCCACCAGACTCAACTGCTGAACATGGCATATTTGAGGCCGGGGCCGGGGCTGCAGCTTTGTGGCAGTGCTGCATTCGGGTCCCCCACCACATCCTACTTACGTCTCTCCCTCTCTGCTCCAGCACATCAACCCCGTGGCCGCCTCCCTCATCCAGAAGATGCTTCAGACAGATCCCACTGCCCGTCCAACCATTCAGGAGCTGCTCAATGACGAGTTTTTCACTTCTGGCTATATCCCTGCCCGCCTCCCTATCACCTGCCTCACCATTCCGCCCAGGTTTTCAATTGCTCCCAGTAGCCTGGACCCCAGCAGCCGGAAGCCTCTCACTGTTCTCAATAAAGGTAAACTGGGGTCTGGGTAGACAGCAGACCCCAAGAGAGCCTAGGCCTCAGGTGTGTGAATGGATGGCCCCCATAGCTCAGGTGTGCGGTAAGACAGGCCCCAGTCCTTGAATACGTGGTCCCCATCCTCATGTGGCAAAATGCCCTTCCCCACAGCCCTGTCAGACCTGTCATGCCCCAAAAGAAGAGAGTGGCTGAACGCCATGCCTGAAAAATTCGTATTTAAAAAAAAATTGCTAATATCACCTTGCATGGTTCTTTGGGGAAAAATGTTGAAATTTTTCAGGTGTACACATAGAGCACAATGCAGTAGACCCCACATCCCCACCAGACTCAACACTTATCAAGATTTGTCATGTTTGCTCCATCACTCCTTTTTTGTTCCTTTGAAGTATTTTTGAAGTTAATCCCAGACATCTTGTCATTTTACCCCATAAACTTCAGTATGCATCTCTTTAAAAGGATGGACTTTTTCTTACAAAACCACATCCAATTGTTTGGGTTGTCATTGTTTCTAGATCTCTTCAGAGAACAGAATTAGGAAATACATAATTGGGAAGAGGGCGGGGACCTTGAATTTATGCTGCTATTTCTGATTCACACTTTTTGAACATTTTATTTTGATATTGTTTCAAATTATGAAAAGTGAGAATAGATAAAAACTTCCTGTATCTTGTTCCCCCTTTTCTCCACCAATTAACTTTTTTCTACATTTACTTTATCTCTCTCATTATATATATATCTAAATTTCTTTCCCCAAACCATCTGATAGTAAGTTGTACACATTCTGGCCTTTACTACTTAATACTTCAGTGTATATTTTCTAAAAACAATTCTTTTACATAACCACAGCACAGGACACAGTTTTCAAGTTCAGGAAATTTAACACTGATGAAACTTCTCTTACAGCAATCTTTTTCTTCACTGTGAAGTTACTTTAATTTTCTTTTGGTAATTTGTAAGTCTCTGATTTAAATATAATATTATAGGATTTTTACTTCTTTAATTTTATACTTGTTTTTTTTTTGCGGTACGCGGGCCTCTCACTGTTGTGGCCTCCCCCGTTGCAGAGCACAGGCTCC